CCTGCAGCAGGTCCAGATCCGGTCCCTGCAGCAGGTCCAGATCCGGTCCCTGCAGCAGGTCCAGATCCGGTCCCTGCAGCAGGTCCAGATCAGATTCCTGCAGCAGGTCCAGATCCGGTTCCTGCAGCAGGTCCAGATCCGGTCCCTGCATCAGGTCCAGATCCGGGTCAGTTTGAGTCCGACTGCCAGGTTTAAGGCCCACCTGCTTCATCTGGAGGTTGGACATCAAAGGTTGGTTTTGTGTTCTGATATTTGGTGGATCCTGTTTGAGGAACGTTTATCAGCTGTGGTGAGGAATCCTGTAGTTTTTTATGATTCTTCACAAAGTTGCTGCTGTAACAACAGGACTGGCGGCTGGTCAGTGACTGGATGTGTCTCTGTCCCGCTGGATGAACGGTGTGTGAAGACAAACTGAAAACGTGTGAATGAAAGTCGACTGTTTGGCTTCGAATGACGTTTGAAAACCGACTGAGAAACAGAAAAAATCACAGAAGTTTTGGGCAGAAAGACAAACAAAGCAAAGCTAATCTAAAATCTGCCAATGGGATCAAGCTGGAGGAAATGCCACTGAATGGACCAGGTGTACCTTCTATGGAAAAGAAATCAGAACACAAAACTGAGCAACACAAAATCTTACCAAGTTTCCGATCTAGTTTCTACTGCAAATGTCTTAGTATAATTGAAATAATTGAACATTAATAAAATAATGTTCAACCAGAGATAATTTCAGCTCCAAACATTTTCTGCCAGTTGAACCAGAACCATCAACATGAAGGAATTATTGACTTAACAAGCTGGTATTTATGGCTGAAACGTTACTTATGGATCAGTTTTATCTTATTTCAGGTGTGTTAAGATTCTGCCCTAGAAACTAGATGTAGTTTTTGCAGTGTAAGCTGTGGATACTTTCTGTTTAAGAGACGAGCAGAGAAAGTTCAGAGAAGCTGAGTGCAGCTCAGCTGAACGGTGAAGTCAGGAGAATTTCTGCATGAAATCCAAACCAAACGTTAAAACATGTCATTGAACCTGAAGCTGCTCTGACTCAGGCAGTCAGTTCAGCTTCTAGCTGTTCTATGTCTATGTAAACAGGTCAGTCTAGAGCTGAACTCTCCAGTTTCAGCGTTTTTCCAGAAGAATCCTCTGCTGTTGTGCCTTATCTGACTCACTTGGCAGCAAAATGCACAACCTGAAGCTGGTTTCAGTGAATCTGGACCTGGATTCAGGATTCAGGTTCAGTCTGAGCACAAACCCAACCAGCCAGCTGTGGGCGAGGCCAGGTGGCGCTGTGGAGCCCATGTTTGGGTCAGAGGGGCTCTGGGAATCTGCTCCTTCCTTCCCTGTTTAAACCAAAAGCTGCTTCTTCACCTCTGACATCCAAACTCGGAGAAAATGCACAGAAAACGTGATTTCTTCTTCATTCTTACTGTCGTTCTATTTATTGTGTAATAGATGCAATACGAGCGTTGTGTCACCGCGGTGAGTGATGCTGTATGTTCTTCACACAGGACATTAATACAATAATAACGATGATGTTTTGAAGTTATTGTGGATTTTTCCAGGCATCTTCTCACTGCTTCAACCATGTCGCTCCGTTTACACCGCAGCTGGTTTCAGGCGGCTGTCGACCCGTTTTTACTCCGTTTCCATATCAGTCCTGCAGAAACCTCATATCTCACAGAGCCGCCTGGACAACCGGTCCGGACACCTGGACGCCTTTCATTCAGGACTAAACTTACAGGAAATGTTCGGCATCGTAGATTATTTAGAGCTAAAACAAGCTGAGAAATGTCTAAAATTAAATCAGAACAGGAGACAAAAGTTTCCTGAAGCCAGTAGTTAGACAGCAGCAGAGTGAAACTTTATAACTGGAGAAAAAAATCAAATTAAAATGTATTTTTTGGTCCCGAGTTAAAAACGAGTCTGAAGCTTTTCTTCTGCAGACAGCCGGTGAAACCTGGGTGTAAAGAGGGACAGCCGTGCCTCAGTGACCCCCTGCTGTTTTAGACGCACTATACTACTATAACATGAAGATATATATATAAAATTATATACATATACTTTTTAGTACTTTGAGTTGAAATACTTTTTAGTATTTTGCAAATAAATGTGTCTGTATATAAAAGAAAAAGCCTCCTGTAATAAATGACAGTTTAATATTGAATCAGAAGTTTGTTTGTTTGGTACCAGAACATTTTATTAGTAATCAAGCCAAAGGTCCAGAGGCTCGTTTCCAGGACATAAAGATGCTGATGAGACATTAATGATTTTACTGGAGGTGCAGGATGGATGGTCTGGAGGACTGGACCCGGTCGGTTCTGTTCTGATGATCGGCCTGCAGCAGCTTGAACGTTTCATACAACATGACAGACTGATGAACGCCGTCAGTTAAAACCTGCTGCATCATTGCAGGTTTTTAACCTTCACCTGGAAACAAACAGGTTGAACTGAACTTTGACCTCAGGAATGCAGGTGAGCATCGTCACAGAACATCACTTTCACAAACAATCCAACCAAAATGAATTTATAAAAATCATCGTTTCATTAAACCAAATATTTACATGAAATGATAAAAAGTCTTTGTTCTGTTTATACATTCATGTTCTGACAGATGGACTCAAACTGGAGAAGAAATTTAAACCAATTTATTTGAATTTTAGCTGCTAGTTTATCATTAAATGTCCGTATGAAACCCAGTGGTTTGGTTCTGGTCAGATTGAAGTGAACTTCAGCTCATCTGCAACGTAAAGAGTAACAGTGACTGCCGTCTTAACCTGACGGGGTTCTGTGGGGGTGGCAAAGCACACCCCATGTACCGAGGCCTCAGCCCTCATGACAGGGGTCACAGGTTCGATTCCCAGCCTGGTAACGTTTGCTGCATGTCCTCCCCGTCTCTCATTACCCTCCTTCCTGTCAAATAAAGGCCAACAAAACCTTTTAAAAACAAAAGGTCTTGAACCAGGGGCCAAAGCATCCTGCATGTTTTATTCTCTCCCTGGTGGTAACAACCTTTTCAGCAGGTCAATGTTCTCCTTAGGTCTCTAATGAGCATCATTTGATCCAGGTGCGTTAAACCAGGGAGAGACTAAAACCTGCAGGATGCCGGGCCGACCCTGGGCCCCCCAGGGCCCCCCCTGGCCCCCCAGACCCCCCCAGACCCAAACCGACGCACTGCTGTCAAAAATATAAACACCTCTTGTCGAATATTGTTTCCATGTGGAGGCAACAACTGTAAGTGAGCATTTGCTGACATTGTACAAAAAAAATAGTCTTGATTTGTGTATAATTTTTAATCCAAGCTGCTGTCAGTGAGCATTAATACTCAGTGATCAGACAAAAGGAGGGACAGCTGGACAATCATTGGACTTTGGACAATAAAAGTTTGTCACCAGTCATAAAGCCTCACATGTTGGACGCTGGACGTCCAGCAGCTGCTCGGCTCCATGTCCGTTATCTGACCATCGGCCGTTTAACTGGCTCTACTGCAGATCACATCAACATGCATGCTCTGCAAATTCCCCCTAAATGGCCCCATCGTGTTCAAACTACTGTCAATCCGCCACAAACGGCCGAACCACGATGTTATTAAAGTTGATATGAAGATCAGTAATTACTGAGAATATAGTTTGAGTTTCTCTATATGGCGTAAATCCAAAGGTTCATAAAACTCATATTTTACATGGGGCGTTTCTAGTTTTGCTCGGTGTAGATATCTCTAACAATCTGTTTCCCCTGCGATGGCACAACAAGCATCATGAGGGAATGTAAGGCTTTGCTTTCCCTTGGAAGTTAAGGGAGGTAATTATGTTCACAGGCTCTTATTTTGAAACATGAAACACTTCTGGGCTAACCATTGCCTCGACTGGGTTGTGTTGATCTGAGAAATTTGTGAAAAGCTTCTGATTAAGTTCCTAAAGTTCAAACATAATCTGCCAGTTTAAGTTTAAATGTTACATCCTGCTGCTCATGGCTGCAGTTCACCGTCTCTCAGCTTCCTTCACTCTGATCTGACACGACATATTTTAATATAACAATATGAAATAAAAAGACCTAGGAATAAAAACTAAGTTTAAAAAGTCCATGAAATATGTAATGTAGCTTTACAAGTGTCACAAAATAAAACACCTGTCATGTTGCATGAGGGAGTCACTGCAAACACAAACCATAAATCCAAGGGAACTCAACCAGCGAAAAGGAAAACCTGGGGCAGAACGGGAAAATAAACGGGAGGAACCAGCAAGGAGTGACTGGGAAAGAGGTGCTTAAGTACTGGGAGGTTGAATCCTGAGACAATGGACCTGGGATTATTAACTAGCTGGTTACAGGAAGAGAGAGAAGGTGGCACAGGGACGGTCAGTGGTTCCCAAACTTGGTAGTAGTGAGACTCCCTGTTATTCGATGGATGGGGGGTAGAGAGACTCTTAGTGACTCCCTGCTGTACTCTTCCACGCATCCCTCCTCTCCTCCCATCTCTCAGCATTCATTGTTTTTTTCTTTTTTGTTTTGTGTTTTTTTTTTCATTCATCCATCCATCCCGCGTCCCCCTGTGATGGCACGGTGCCCCCCTAGGGGGCGCACCCCACAGTTTGGGAAGCTCTGGACTAGGCAATGAACCAAACAGAGAAGCAAAGTAAACCTAGTTAAACTACTGTAATAACTAGACACAAGAAATAATAAACGTGAATTACTAAGAAAGGACTGAACCAAAGTATGAAAAAGAGCCATGGCTGATCTAATGAAGACAGAAATGAACAAAATTCAAAACCAATTCAAAAACCCAAGATCCCGACAACACATTCTGAAGTAAATGTATAAAAAATGACTGACATCTCGACATGAATCTTTTTATTTCATGTGCTAATTAATTTATTGCAGTGTTTAATAATTTATCAATAACTGTTTAATTTTGAATGTAGTGACTTCATAAAAATAATCGACAGTGTGAATCTTTAAAGCTGATGTAATGTTTCCTTTTGGTCACATCGTGTTCAGAACCATCCTCAGGATCTCTGGATCAAATGGAAACCTCGTTGGTCCACCAGGTACAGATTTCTGGGCTCTTCCTGAGTGAAAACATTAATATTGTTTCTAAATGAATATGAACTTGTTCCTTTGGATTATTTGAAGTCTGCATTTTGTGGTGATTTTGACCATTTCTCATTTTTTGCACATAAATGCTACATTGTTGCTTGGATTTTCAGAGACGTGTCAATAGAACAAAATATGTTTTTACTAAAACATCTATAAAGAGAAAATCAGAACATCTGGTTTTAAGTGGTCTCTTCATCTTTTCTAGATCCATATCTATATTTCAGGATTGATAGAAATCATTTTGAATTAGTTTAAAATATTGAAAATACTGGCATACTGGTGACCTTTCATCCAGTTTCCTCTTCAGCCGTTTCATTTCTGTCTCCCTGCAGAGGAAGAGCTGGACGGTTTCTGGAGACGGGGGAAGCCTCACCAGGCTGCTCCTCCAGAGACGCTCTGATGACGGAAACATCAGAGCGATTTTACACTTTGTGGTCAGCTGGGTTTGACCTCTAACCTCAGGTGATGCCACGTCGTTCTGTAACGTTTTTAATAGCACATTTTCATTCAACACTAAAGGAAAAATCTGTTCTCTTTAAGTTGCACTCAAATATTTCTAAATCATGAAGTTCTAATACAGTGTTTTTCAACCTTTTTTGAGCCAAGGTACACTGTTTTAATTGAAAAAATCTCGAGGC